TCAGTAGCACTGCGCCTGCCTCGCAAGCACAAGGTCCTGAGTTGGATCTCCAGTACCAAAAAAAAAAAAAAGATGTCTGAACTTAAAATGTTAAAATGGCATAAGTAAAGTAAGTGGATGAGGGGCACACATCTGGGTGAGCTGCGTTTACCATGAAAGTAAGGACACTAGAAAAACAACAAACTGAATACACAGCTGGTCTAAAAAAGACAAAGTCCTTTCTACCAGGAAAAAGTATTATTTCTTGTACCCCTGGGATTCTATTCAAAAAAATCCTTGCCTAAGCCTGTGTCTTCAAAAGTTGTACCTATTTTATCTTCTAGCAGTTTAAGTGCCTGTTTTAAGATTTAGATCTTTGATCCACTTTGATTTTAGTTTAGTACATGGTGAGAGATATGGGTCTAGACTTCATCTTCTGCATGTGGATATCGAATTTTCCTAGCACCATTTATTGTCTGCCTTGCTTCAGACAATCAAACTACGGGCAACCTAAATGAATAGGCACTCGTCAGAAGTACAAATGGCCAATAAATACACAAAATGTGTCCAGCACCACTGGCCACTAAAGAAATGTAAATTAAATTACTTTGATGAGACCATCTTAGCCCAGAAAGAATGGCAATCATCAAAAAATCTAATATTATAAGTGCTGGGGGAGGGGTGCTTCTACCCGGTGGGAATGTAAACTAGTACAATCACTATGGAAATCAGTGTGATTACTCAGAAAACTAAAATTAGAAATTCCAGTTGACTCAGCTAACCCCCTTCTATCTTCCCAAAAGAGTTTAAATTATCTTTATTACTGGGATACATGCATAACCACGTTTATAGCAGCACAATTTATAATAGCTAGATTTTAGAAATAGCATATATGTCCATCATAGATGGATGGATAGGAAAATGTATTTACACACAGTGGAGTTCTACACTATCATAAGGAAAGGTAAACTTGATGTATTAGTAGATAAATGGATGTAACTTGAGACCATAAGTGAAATAAATGACATATTCAAGCTTAACTATGGCAGGTTTCTTTTATATGAGAAATTCAATTTATATATGGAAATGAGCAAAAGAGAAGACAAACAGGGAGAGAGAGGTTCAAATGATTCCCCAAATTACCTATTCTGCTGTTTCAAAAATATTTTAATGCATATGTTGATTTGTTTCATTTATACTAGTTTTCTTAGTTCACTGAAAAGAAAGTTTTACACTAGCTGTTTGTGAAAAATTTTTTGTTGCTGTCTTCTATTCTGAGTAACTATACTTTGAAGATAATACACAGTGCAGTGTTATTCTGTTATGTTTTAAATTTTTTTCCATAAATCAGAAAATTAAAAAGGTATATTTCTAATAGTATAGTAATAATGAATTATGGGGCTATTTGTACAATTAAATATTGAGTACTCACTAAAAATTAAGAGTTGCAACTTGGGAACATAAATAATCCAGTGAACCTGGTTATAGGCACAGGTGGGACCTATTAATTTCTCTTCAAGGTAGATTCCCTAAAAGGAGTACGTGAACACACATACCAATTTCATTCGAAAATATATACACTGAAGTGAGGCACAGCTGTATCAAATGGTGTATCTATTTTTAGTTTTGTGAGGAATCGCCATACCAGTTCACACTTGCACCAGCAGTGTCAAAGGGTTCCTTTCTAGTTATCCTCAGCAGTAGGTATTGTCTTCGTATTCTTTTTTGGGGAAGGAGGGGTTGCTTGCCTCTCCTCGAGTTAGATTCCAGGTTCATCTCATCTTGAGCAAAGAACTGAATGACCAAAAAGCAGTGCAAATTTTATTTGAAGAAGTAAAAGAGAAGAGTGAGGAAGAAACTGGCTCTGCAAAGCAAGCTTAGGCTGAGTAAAAAAGGAAAAATCAAGATAAAAGTATACCCCCCAGGGGCAGTAGGCCTGCTTTTGTATCTTGATGAGTCATTCTAATTGGGATGTGAAAGGACTGCAGTGTAGTTTTGATCACCATTTCCATAAATAGGCATGGCTTCTATCTAGAGTTGGTCCCCGCCACCACACCCCCAGCAATCAGTGGGCTTTAGGGAGGTGGCTGATCACTGTGTGTCACACTGGGTTACCTACTGGGGGTTTAGATCCGGGTGTGCCTTGGAAGGTGAAGCCTGGTGGGAGAGGTGGTCACTGGCACAGCCTGGCAGGTGTAACTATACACATCCTCCTGCTCCCTGCCCGTCACACCATGAACTGCTTCTCCTCTGCCACACCACGCTGCCTTGGAGCCCGCCAAGTAAGCATGGGCTGAAACCTCTATAAACTGTGAGCCAGAATAAATCTTTCTTCCTAAAAACTTATGGGTGTCAGGTATTTTGTTCCAGAAATGAGAAAGTGACTAAGCAAGATGTTGAGCTTTTTTTTTTTTCCCATATATTCTCGGGCATTTTTACTTCTTTTGAGAACGATCTCTTCAGTTCACTTGTCTATTTATTGAGTGGGTCATGTGGGGTTTTTTTAGGTGTAAAATTTTTTGAGTTCTTTATATATTCTAGGTTTCAATCCTCTATCCGAAGAATAGCTAGCAGAGATTTTCTCCCACTCTATAGGTTGCCTATCTCTTCACTTTGTTGCTTCCTTTGTTGTGCTAAAGATCTTCAATTTGAACTACTACCATTTGTTGAGTCTTGATTTCCTGTGCTACTGGAGCCCTATTCAGAAGTTTCTGCCTAGGCCTTTGGCTTCCAATGTTTCCCCTATGTTAACTTCCAGCAGTTTGAAAGCTTCTAGACTTGTATCTAGGCCTTTGCCTTAGCTACTTTCCTTGTTGCTGAACAAAACACTTACTTGATACCCAAAGTTAAGGAGGAAAGGCTTACTGTAGCTCACAGTTTTAGAGGTTTCAGTTCACAATTGGCTGGCTCCAAGGCAGGATGGCATGGCACAGGGACATCACAGGGGAGAAACAGTTCATAATGGGCAGAAGGCAGCAAAGAAGAAGAGGAGCAGAAGCAGAAAACTACCTCTCCCTTTTATCCCTTCCAAGTTACCTGACCTATGGGTGGTGCCACTCACACCCATAGTGGGCCTTGCCATTACCCATACCCAGAGCTATGCCAAACCAATCAGTGGACTAACTTAGTAATCACACATCCTCAATCTCAGCATCACACATCCTAGATCCAGCCACCTCTGAAGGGCCCAGCTATGAGCATATGAGCCTTTGAGGGGACATCTAGACACAAGCCATAACAGCCCAATCCATTTTGATTGATTTTAGTACAGGGAGAGAGAGAAGGATCTGGTATAATCTTCTACAAGGGATATTCAGTCTTCCTGGCACCATTTGTTAAAGAAGCTTTCCTCTAGCACAGGTCCTTTGCCCCTCTGTCAAAAATCAGATGGCTACAGGTGCTAGGGTTGTTTCTGTGTCTTCTGTTCTGCTCCACTGGTCTCCGGTCTGTTTTTGTGCTAGTACCAAGTTGTCTTGTCACTGTGGCTTTACAGCATAAGGCACTGTGATGCCTTCAGTGCTGCTCTTTTGCCTCAAGACTGTTTTGGCTATTTCAGTCTTTTGTGACTCCATGTTAATCTTAGTATTTTTTTCCCCTAGTTCTGTGAATATTGTTAGTATTTTAATAGGGATTACACTGACTCTGTAAATCACTTTTGGAAATATGACCATTTTAACGATCCATGAACAAGGAAGTCTTTCCATTTCCTAATGTCTTTTTCAATACCTTTCTTCAGTGTTCTCTAATCTTCAATACAGAGCTCTTTCACATACTTGTTTAGGTTCTTACATATTTTATTTTCAATCTCTTATGAATGGAATTGTTTTCCTGATTTCTTTTGCAGCACTATTGGTGTATGGGAAATCTATTGATTTTTATGGCTGATTTTGGATCCTGAGTTATTTTTTCAAATGTACTGTTTTCACCACTGATCTTTTAGATTATTTCAATAATCAAGAGATCTTTTATCAATTAACACTCTCTAAGGATCCACTTAGCAGAAGTAAAAGATATCAGCATATAAAATGGTTAACTGGAAATAGCAATGAAATCTATTATGAAAGCAATGTAAACAAAAAGTGGAAAAAATTCTTTATTAACATCATTCTTTAATCAAGTACATGTCATGATACATAATTTGTCACAAAAATTCTTAATAACTAGCTACAATCAACAAAATGAAGGAAAGGAGGAAGACCATGACTCAATCTTTAGATGACACAGCCATCTAAATTGGTACTTTAAAAAAAATTCTAGTATTAAAAAAGCTCCAGGGACTAGGGATTTAGCTTAGTAGTTCCGCCACCTGCCTCACAAGTGCAAGGTCCTGAGTTCAATCCCTGGTACACCCCCTGCAAAAATATCTCCAGAGAAGCAAAGCTGGTGAGTAATGTAACAGAAAAAGAGGCAAAACAGAATTCTTTAATCCACTTAAAGAAGACACAGAAGCAGGAATGTTACCACCATCAGTGATGGTGAACCTTTTAGAGCTTTCAATGATGCAAACAGCCCACTACACAGCAACATGTGCCACAGGTTCACCACTGCTGTCATGGATAACATATAAAGGACAATTTCCAGAATATCTATGTCAGAAGCTTTTCTGTCCAAGACAGGACAATTAACATAACATCAACTTCTGACTAACATTAACATGTACTATCTTTCCAAATGACTCATTTAAAGTATTTATTTTTCCGATGATGTAAATCACAATAAAAGGCAGGCAGAGAATAACGCCGTACTAGTGATCAAGCCAATTCTGTACATAAAGGAATTAAAAAGGAAAAATCCTAAGCAACACTTGCTTCCAGATACCAACTTAAGCAATTATTCCACATCATGTCTATGCAGGCCTAGTGTTCAGGAACATTAAACATGTATGCTGAATTGCATCTTATTAACAACAACTGCATTATTACTGAGGGATCGAGGCCTAGGATTTCTGACAAAGTAAAGTCTTATGAACAACAAGAAGGAAATAAAAGAAAGAAATAAAGTTTAAAATTTCATATGCTTACCTCAACCACCCAGGGACTACTGGCAAAGGCCATAATATCTCTCTCTTCCCAGAAAAAAGCAGCATCTGATCTTTTGATCATTTCAAACTTACTAAGCAGCTTCATAGCATACACATTCTGTGATGCCTTATGACGAACCTGTGGATTTGTTAAAACACAAGGTTAATCCTTTAACTTTATGAGAGCAAGTGATTAGATCATACCACAGAGCTACTATAAAGACTTCCATTGAGGAGCTAGGGGTGTATGGCTCAGTGTCGCCGTGTCTGCCTGGCAGTGTAATGTCCTGAGTTCTATCCCCGGCTGGGATGGGGGGGTGGTGGCTTCAGTTGAAAAAAAAAATCATCCTTAACTACCTAATAAAAAGTAAAAGCGTAATATTACACATGTAAAAGAAACGAAGAAGAAAACTTGTAATAGCCCAAATATTTAGTAGAAAGTACAATCACTTTCAATACCAGGTTCAATATGCAACTGAATCTATTTCAGTTAGATGAAGCTAAAATTATGAAGTGTAATTCCCTCCTGTTATTTAATCAATTTTAAGAATAAGGTTTTGTTGTTCTTGTTGTTGTTTTTGGTATCAGGGATTGAACTCAGGTTCTTGTGTTTGCGAGGCAGGTGGCAGAACCACTGAGCTAAATCCCTGGCCCCTGTTGTTTTTTGAGGCAGGGTCTCCCTTTGTAGTTCAGGCTGTCCCTGAACTCACTATGTAGCCCAGGCTGGCCTTAAACTCATGATAGTCCTCCTGACTCAGCCTCCCAAGTAATGGGATCACAGGATGTGCCCCGCAAGAATAAGATATTATTAAATGGGAAACTTCCAAGATATGTCTCGTGGGGAGAATCATGTATTTTAATTTGAAGCATCACTGAACATAGATCTTTCACTATCTGAACATGAGAACTTAACTGATTTAAAGCTCAAAGGATATCTATGACTCTATTAAGTTACCTTTGTATCTTTTTAGGTAGCTTATCTTAAAAGGTTATTTTTCCTTATAGGGAAAAGCTACCAACAATATGGCTGTGTTTGGTATCCTATCTTCCCCATTAGACTATAAATTCCCTAAGAGCAAGATCACTATTTCTGACCACTCTTTTAATCCCCAGAACTGGTCATGAACTATCTACCACAGAGCCAATAAATATTTCGTGTATGATAAATGCAGCTGACATTCTTTCAATAATTAATACAAATTGCTAACATTTATACCTAGGTGTCTAACAGGATATCCAAAATTGAAACTCGTCATCTTCACCCTTGAATTTATCCCTTCTACAGCTGTCCCACTTGTATAAATAGCAGTTTTATCCTTCCAGTTACCTGGGCTAGAAAACCCTTTGTCAGCAAATCAAGTCATTTCTACCTTTAAGCTGTCTTAGAGCCCAAAGGCTTCTAAGAACATTCCCACTGCCCCTGCCATCTTTTCTCCTTAGCCTGCAGCCCCCACCCTGCTGCCAGTGCACTCCCTTTCATGTCCCCTGCATGCAGGAACCATCTGTAGCCCCTCACCCCCACACTGGGGATTGAAGTCAGAACCTTGTGCTTGCCAGGCAGGCGTGTGGCGCCACTGAGGTACATCCCCAGTCCTACAGTTTTTAAAAAACACACTTGTTGCCTATGTCAGCATTAGAATTTAACCTAATAAAGGCAAATGTTTGTATTTTGTTTGCTATTTAATCCCCATGCCCAGTTCAAAGCCTGACACAATACTCTTCCAGTAAGTTTTTTCTAGAAGAATGAATTTTTTGTTGTTTGTTTTTGTGGTACCAGGGGTTGAACTCAGGACTTTGCCACTGAGCTAAATCCCTGGACCCCAGAAGAGTGAATTTACTGAGTACTTCCTAGTATGTGCCAGGGGCTATGTATTTTGATGCATGTATCACCTTAATCTTCCAGTGAGGTTTATTTCCCCACTACAAATGGTAAACATGAGGTAAGGGAAGTGAACTTGCCAGAGGACCATACAGAATGAAGTCTGAAAGGCAAGCAGCATGCAAGATCCATGCTGTTACTACATACGTAAGCTCAGTCAGGACGACTTCTGCAAACAAAGCCAGATGGCACCTGCGAACCCAACAGTCCATCCAATTTATGCTCTTTCACTCAGGAGTTCTGGTGAGTCTGTGGTCACCTTACTTACGGTTGGAAGAAAGGAGCAAAGAGCGGGACAAGCTGCTTGCCGTAGTCTACAGGCCCCAAATCATCTACCCCATGTCCACCTTCCCAGATGAAATTTTGCCTTTTTCATTTCTCTGCATGTTTCAAGCACAGACCTCTCCTTTCAGTGTTTCCACTATGTAGAAACAACATGTATCCTGCATGCTGACTGCCTTTCAGACTTTTTTTACATAAGGGATGAATGACCCTAGCCTACCACTGCAGAGAGACTAAATTTTTAACTGACTTGTGTTGAATTACCAGATTATCTCAAAGTAAATGATTGTGCCAATGATACTGTTAAATACAGCACAACTGCTAACAAGAAGTTGCTAGAGTAGGCCTCTCATATTTACACTACCCTTCAAAACCTTCATTTACTCTAAAAGCAAATCAAAATTTGAATGTTTCCTAGCTTCATCAATCACTCCATATACCACACTACAGTAGATTAATCTGCATCATATCATTACTTATGACTGTGACAAAAACTGTTTTACGAATGTACTTAAATATTTAAGCCATTAGTGTTTACATACAAGATAACTAAGCAATCTAGAAGGAAACAGCCATTCATGTATGTCACACGAAGTCCCACCACACAGCCATGCGCCATCTCCAGGCACCCTGCTGCCACGTGCAGGAAAAGCCCCACTCTGGCGCAGCAAGGGAAGGAGAGCGCACTGGGCGGAGGGCACGTCCCGCTGAGCGCGGGTAGCATGAGCTCAGACACTGAGGAGCAGGACCCTGACACTTCCTCCCCCAGCACCTCACACCTAGGATCAACAGGGTCATTGGCGAAACCCTGCTAGCAGAAGAGGAAAATGGAGCTGAGCACAAAGATGTGGGCCTTCTTCATATACAGCTCGGCAACGAAAGGGTAGCAGTGAATACTGTGAAAGGAAGAAAGACTGAAGAAACACATGGAGGCACAGCCAGCAGGACTTCCTAGAAAATTGGGCAGGGGAGTGAAGAAAAGAAAAACCACCGATGACCCCGTGGATTGAGTACCGGGCCTTCACATCCCAAGTGCCCTTTTTATTTTTTAGTTTGAGACAGAGTCTCCCTAAATTGCTAAGTTGCCCTAACTGGGCTTAAACTTGTGATCCTCCTCCTGCCTCAGCCTCCCAGAGTGCTGAGATTACAGGCATACACTGCCACACCTCGCTGGTTCCCTTTTCATTTTGACTTGAGCAACTAATTTGGTACTGGAGTCATTTACTAAGATGAGGAGATAGTTTTATGGAGGAAGAGCAGAGTTACAGAACCAAGGGTTCTTATTTCACACATTTTAGATATCTTAGATATCTGTGACTTTTTTTCTTTTTATAGTTTTTTATTCATACATGTTTGCAATTCATGCAATTTACAATCATCTTGGAGAGTGGTTACATGTTCATATTACAGCTTTTTAAAAATCCCCTTCGGGCTGGGGATTTAGCTCAGAGGTTCGGTGGCCTGCCTTGCAAGCGAAAGGACCCGAGTTCAATTCCCGGTACAAAAAAATAAATAAATAAATAAATTAAATTAAATTAAAAAATCCCCTTCTAGCCAGGGATTTAGCTGAATCTGCCACCTGCCTCTCAAGGGCAAGGTCCCGAGTTTGAACCCTGGTTCCAAATAAATAAAAAAATAAAATAAAATCTCCTTCTTCTTCCCTCCCCTATGTCACATCTTGCTGTCAAGTAAGTAATCATGGATATGAACTGGAGAGTTAGGTACAAAGTTCTGAGCAATGATGCCAAATAAATGGTATTTAAGGCCACAAGATGCATGAGCTCACCTTGGAAGAGAAAGCCAGTAAGGGTCTCTCCCCTGGGAACGACAATATGTAGAGGTCAGGTGGGGATAAACCACCTGAAGGAGAATGAGAAAGAAGAGCCAGTAAAACAGGGAGACTTGATGTTTCAAGCAAGAACCAGGGCCAGGGATTTAGCTCAGAGGGAACATGGCTGCGTGGCAAGTGCAAGGTCCTGAGTTCTATTTCCAGTACTGAAGGGTGGGGGGAGAAAGAAGAACCAATTAAGTCTGAGTAAGAGAGAGTGGAATACTATGCAGTCAGTAACCCTGCAGGTCAAGTCCACACTTACTTGACAGGGAAGACGGTTATAACCATGAAACAAAGAAATCCTGCACCTCAATCCAAATCTCCCTTCGCCCACTAAGCATCTACATGACCATCAGCAGGTTATTCATCCTATGAAAACTGACATCACAGCAACAATACTACCTAACAACTTGTGAGGTTGCATAGAGCCTATCCCAAATATTGTAAATCAACTGCTATAAAAGCATGTGCTACTACTTACTGTTGCGTTACAAAACATGAATTATAAAACATATACATAATATGATCCCTTAAAATGGAGATATTTAAGACACACATATATCACATGTAGCTTTTAAAACTGAAAAGTTGCAAAGCTACACATCAAACTAAGAAGAGTTGATATACTTGCTAGGTCTCTCCTTTGCTACTTGTGAATTTTAAAAATATAATGCTGGCAGGGCTGGGGATTTAGCTCAGTGGTTCCGTTGCCTGCCTCGCAAGCGCAAGGACCTGAGTTTGATCCCCGGTACCCACCCCCAAATATATATACACACACACACACACACACACACACACACACACACAATGCTGGCTTATTTTATTATTTTACTATGAACATATTCGTCATAGTATACATAAAATAATTCTCTAACTTCAAGAGACAATAACTAGCACTGATTCAATTTTTATAACTCAATAAGGAAAATGCTTACTTTCCTCAAGTGAAAATAATTAGGATAAATATAAAACTACCCACTGAAAATATCTTGACACTTCTTGGAACAGTCTTCAAATGCTTCCAATAGTGACAGCAGTAAAGGACACCAACAGGCTGAGCCTGCCAGTGCTGTGTGCTCTTGGACTTCTGTCTCAGAGAGCTTGTGGGAACGCACATTTCTGTGGTGTCAGGCAGTCCCAGGCAGCA